CTCTGTTCCAGTGTGCCTCCTTCTCTTTAATTAGCTGGCCTAATACAAGGAAACAGCACATTAGAAAAGCTGTCTGACAGGAGAAACATTGTAACAATGCAGAGCTAATTAGGAAACATCTGCATGATTTTTTCCCACTATTATAAAGGTGTGACCTATTTTATTTGTCTTACCTTGATGGAGCATAGAAAGTATCAGGAGATACAAACAAGAGAGGAGTTCAGCTTAGCACTGATGGAGGCATCGTTCTTTCCTTGCCTGGAACTGGCAGATCTCCTTAATCACAGGTGACAGATGACCCCAAAATGCAAGATGGATGTGTGTGGGGTGGGGGGTGGGGATTCTCCCTCATCGGTGCTCCCATCAGTTTCAGGGATGTGATGTCCATACCAAAGTGCATGGCTCTGATTTTCCACTCATGGCTTGGGGAAAAGTGTCAGAAGTCTGGCCAAGCTGAGGCCAGTAATTACCCAGAATGCATCCCTGTGTTCACATGGGATGTGTCTTTTTGGGGTGTTGATAAAACGGTGCATGAACTGCCTTCGGGAAAGGCCACAGGTCTGTGGTGAAGCACACGCTCTCTATGTTGAAGTTCCAGCTTCAGTCTGTGCCATCTCCAGGTGGAAGGATGAGGAGGCAGGTGATGCCAAAATTTTTCCCTGCCTGAGTCTCTGCAGAGCCATGGCCAGGCAGCTCAAGCAGTTGTGGCCTAGATGGGGAAACAGCTTTGAGCAAAATACCTTTCCTGGGCTAGAAACACAGAAAGCTACTGGGGTCTGAGAGGCAGTTTATCCCGTCTGGACATTAGCCTGAAGTTTAAAGGTTCTGTCCATGGTGCTGAACGCTATCCTCAAAATACTTTCAGGCTTTTTTTGGTCCAAAAGATGGAGCTACATCTTCCTTGAGGAGTGCAGAGATGGAACATTAATCTTATGACTAGGACTGGCATTTCCACTTTATGAGAACAGAATCCTCATAAGCATCCAGCAAAGATATTCTAGCCTAGTCTGCTGAGTCTGGTGAAAAGGTCCCCAGGATGCACAGACTCCATGGCTTTGCATGGTATCTCCTCCATGACCTATGGGCATTCAGGGTTAAGTACAGATCATGCTGCACCTAAGCATTCCAGCAAAAACCTCCGATGGCTGCCAAGAATGACTATGTAAGGAGCATTCGGCTCTCTCTGCAGTTTCCTTATGTGAGGTCTGGGGCAGCCCCTGAGCAGTTGAGCTTTCCCAGGCTCTGGGTTGGACTCATGCACTCAGGATGGCTGTTGAGCTCTCCTAAACCAAGATTCCAGGAATGCGCTTCCTGCCTGGCCTAGCAAGTTTCAGCCTGCTGTTGCAGGCTGATTCCTGGCTTGGCCTCTTGGGCTTGATGCCTGGGTGCCAGACCTTGCCATAACTCCAACAGAAAGAAACTGGAGGAGGTGTCAAAACTTGTCTGGGACTTTGGACTTTACACTGGAGTAGCTAGAGTTCACTTGGCATGGTACTGACTGTGCAATGCTTTGGATCCTGGCCCTCATTCCAGAAAAAAATAGATGCCCCACAGAGACAGGAGATCCAGGATTCCGATTTTGCAGACTCTCCATTTTGAGGGTTGCAAAACAGAGCAAATTCCTAGTCTTTATGGCCATGGCGATAAGCTTGAATGGGTGGCATCATGGTCAAGGTTGGATGATTCAGCATTTGCAATAGTTCCACCTGACTAGTGAAAGCAGGATCCATTTTGCAAGCTAGTAAGCACTGCAGTGGGACCCTGTGGCCTGATCATGCATTGAATAAGAGTCCAGAATCTGACTAGATGTGCTGTTGGTATTGCCTGGACACAGAATTGTGTATTTGGGCAGATCCATCCATCTATAATATTTTTATTCCATCTACTCTGCCTGTGGCATCTCTAGGTGGCTCTATACTCTACTCAGGCCCATCTGAGGGCAACTGGGCAACCCAGTTGAGGTGCCAGCCATGCAGAATGGTCTAACTGAGTTAGCAGCAGCAGCTGAGGATTCCCACAGGGAGATGTAGAACCGTCATCAATGGAAACCTTTGAGAATGGATTGACCTGAATGTGGAGCAGGATCAGCTTCAAAATGAGTGCATTTCAAAAAATTCATGCAACTGAGGTGTACGTTTGGGGGAAATATACATGGTAATGCTTGTGGGTTTCCATGCAAAAAGAAAGAAAATAAAGCTCTCAATCTGATACAGAACAAGTTTTGAGATGCAGTTCAGAGAATTTTGAGAAGCTCAAGTTTTGCTGATCTGCTCACGCCAGTTGATGTCAGGGATGACCTGGAAGTAGGGTCAGTTGAAACCTATTTATACGCTGAGATATGCCTGCCTGCCTGCCTGCCTGCCTGCCTGCCTGCCTGCCTGCCTGCCTGCCTGCCTGCCTGCCTGCCTGCCTGCCT